TAGCTTTTTTAAAAGCTAACCTTGTCTACCATTTACACCGGTGCTAAGACAAGTCGCGTGCTTTACATAACGTCATTGCTGCACGCCTTTTATGGATGAATCGCGTTCTTAGGATGACGTCATTTTACCATTATGAATGAAGTTGTATGTTCATACGCTACTATAAGAAAAAAAGAGCGTAATGAGAATATTAGTTTTTTATATTTTTTGTTCGAAAAATAATTGGCATGTATGATGCAAGAAAAAGAATCAAACACTTGTTGTTGGTACAGACGGAATATCTAGCTCTAGGGTAACTTTTTAGCGGAAACTCGGCAGAGCCTCGTTACCGCCGTTAACAGTTACCCTCGAGCTAGATATTCCGGTCTGTATCGGCAGCCGGTGTAAGATTCTTATTTATATATATACAGTGTAAGAAGGCACAAGGTGAAGACTGAATTTGGCATTCCCTAATGCATTCTCATAAAGGAAAGTACAGTACAAAAAATTCGCCCTACCTAAAATTACTCCGATAAATTCAACATTTTATTACGCAGTCAAATACGCGATCTTGGTCTCTGCACCGCGAGACCTGTTTGTTTTCCATAGCCTTGGTGATGGAAGCAAGATGAAAACAGTATAATAGAAATAATTAGCTTAGAATAATATCATAGAAACATTTAAAGCTCACGTGCATTTACCTAGAAAAATAAAAACCATGTTGTTTGCTCTATAAAAAAATGAAATTTGTTGGTAGTAAATATTATTTTGATCTGTAACTGCGTGTTAGTAGAAAGTTTATGCGATGCACTTACCGCATCAATAAGTTTCTTATTTTGAGAACAATATAACAAATGATTGTTTTACTTACAAGTGACGTTTAAACGTTTCAAATCGGCGAAAAGTAAGTCAAAATTAAAGAATTTAATGTGGAAATGTTCAAGTACGAATGTGATGCTTGATTTCACAATTAAGAAATATATTGATTAAAATGTATGTGAAAAGAGAGCTTTACATAAAGCATTACAATTTATAAAGGGTAGTCTATAATCTGCTCGAATACATAGCAAGCTTTGCAATATAGTTTTCAATTCTGAAATAGAGGATAAAAATGCTCAGCTGGAAAACCGGGCTGGTAGAGGAATCTAGCAGGGCATTCCTAAGATTATTTAGTGTAAAAAACGGTATTCTGCCATAGAGTATAAATTACTTAGAGTCTTTATCTTTTTGTCTGCGTCAGTTGCCGAATAAAGAAAAAATGGACTATGGAAAGTCTATGGAAGTCAAATACAAGTATGTCATTATCAAAATTAGCACCAAAAATTCCTGAAAGTTTGTGAGTGCCTCAGAATCAGTTGCAGACCAAAGAAATGGATTATAGAATGGCCCGTGCAGCCATAAATTTTATTTTCACCTTTGGCACCAAAGCTTCTGAAAGTCTGTGATTGAGCAATAGATTTTGGAGGCTCTCCAGAAGTGAAATATCATAATCTCAGTTGACACCTAAAATTCCTGAATGTCTGCAAGTTCCAAAGAACCAGTCGCAGACCAAAGAAATGGACTCTTGGGGGTTCCCAGATGTCAACAATATATTTATCTCCTTTGGCAACAAAGATTCTGAAAGTCTGCGATCGACCAAGAATACGTCACAGACCAACGAAACTGATTCTGGAGGGTCTATTGAATTCAAATTTGTCATTATCTCCATTAAATCCGAATTCCTGAAAGTTTGCCAGTGATACTTAATTGGTTGCCGACCATAGAAATGGACTATAGAAAGTCAAATATGACATTATCTCTATTTGCATCAAAAGTCTGCTCGTGCTTCGGAATCAGTTGCAGTCCAAAAAACGGATTCTGGATTATCCATCGAAGTTAAAAATGTGTCACCTGAAGCTCTAAAAAATTGAACTGAAGTGAATAGAATTTACATCAGAATTTTATCAACATGTGGTGTTTTGCTTGTTGGTTTATAGGTTTATTTATTGCCATTATCTTAATGATGCGATTTTCAGCTTGTGTCGCACGTAGGTCATAAAGCATTTTAAGCTAAAGTAATAAACTACAGAACTGTTGACCTGCATGTGAAGTTGTTCACTAGGGGTTTGCTTGTTGTTGGCCTTCGAACATTTCAACATTTTTCGTGCGTAGCCAAAAATGTATTTGACCTGGATTCATGAAACTTTCCCGATATGTTGATCACTATGTCCAGTTGTTCACCTGGGGGTTCGCTTGTGTTTTTTTATGAATTATTAGTAGAGTTATTCCCCTTCTAAAGTGACTCAGTAAAAATAAGCAATTTTCAATTTGTGTCATTTAACTGTACAGAAATGTCAATCAACATAAGAAGTTGTGCACCTTGTGTTTTGCGTGTGGAATACTTCAGTTTTTAAGAGTTATTGCCCTTGAATCAGTAAAAAAATTGGCAATGTTCAATTTATGTCGTTCGTAGATCAAAACGTTTTTGACATAGAGTCATTAAACCTCACAGAAATGTTGGTGAACTGGGGGGTTTACTTGTGAATTTTTTCATTAATTGTAGAGTAAATGTTCCTGACTTTCTAAACATTTTCAATTTTCAATATGTGTCGCCAAAGGCAATTTGACCTGAAGTCATGAAACTTTGTGCATTTTGGGGTTTGCTTGTGGAATTATTCGGAATTATTGAGTAATTGGCCTTGACGTAGTAAAACAATGCAGTTTTCAGCTTGTGTCTTTTTACAGGAATGTTGCTCAGAAGATATAGTTTTGCACTTTGGAGTTTGCTTGTTGAAATGCCCTTGACTTAGTTAATATAGGCAATTTATCTTGCGATGGGCAAAGCCCATAAAGTATTTGACCTGGAGTATTTGACCTGAATTTACCGAAATGTTAATCAGCATGTGAAGTAGTGTACATGGAGTTTTTTTGTGGATTTATTCATTATTTGACTTGAACATTTCAACCTGTCCATGTGTAGCTAAAAGGTATTAGACATTGAGTCCTGTAAATTTAAAGGAATTTTGGTCAGCATGACTGTGTAAAACTTATAGCAACATTTGACCTAGTGTCAGAAGATTGGCTAAACAGGTGAATGTAATGTAATTCATGTCCTATGGACACATTTCAAGTTCTACACAATTTCGGAATGCCCGCTGGATTGCTCTGCTAGCTGGGCATTCAAGCAGAAAATCTATTATACTATATTTAAAAATGTTCTGCGCTGGATTGCTGTCAGCTCGGCATTTTAGCAGAGCAATTTTACACTTTATTTAAGAATGCCCTCCCCCCGGCTTAGCCGGCTCACTGTTCACTACTAACAACTTCTCAGATACAGTTATTACTTTATTTCACAATTTGTTTCAATAGTGCGCTACTAATATATAGAAAATTAGTAAAACGTTAACCCTCACAATTACAAGAAAAATTGAGCTTTGTCTTTCCGAAATGAAAATGTCCAGAACCATTTCAAAAAACGTTCTTTTCTTTTACGGCTATATATATACATCAGTCTTAAACTTTACTTACTTTAGGTAAAACAAAACTGTAATAAGTACGCATGTCCCTAACTTGTCACGAACGAATAAGGATAATTTTGCACATTTTGTATAATGCACTTAAAGTTTGTCAATGGGGCTTGATCAGCTTTAACCGTACACCTGACAATATTTTGTTGTTAATGTATGCTAAAAATCATTCGGAGGCCATAACTTGACATTTGAGACGAATAGCTTATTTGTTAAGATGACCGGGAAAGATTATTATAGACAACTCGACGTTTTCTTCATTGAAAACAGATATTTCTTTTTAACTACTGTTTAATGTATAAAACGAACGGATATTAGAGAAATGGCTTGACATGATTTAAACCCTCCTATAAATTAATCATTTCTATGTGAAGAAATCTTAACTTGTGTTTTGTAACAGCGAAAAAAGACAACTTAAACATAATTTAAGTGAATTAAAAAATTATTATTACAATGGCATAGATCTATACCGCCAGCCAGACTCTCTTTTACTATAATACATTACAAAAAGTAAGTTTATTTGATTATACGCACTGAAATGAATCTTTTTAGGGGGGGGGGTTTAAGGCGCACCAACAATTTAGGTTATGTGGCGCTGAAACAGGAAATGTGATACCCAGGGTATTATAAACTTAAAGAAACACAAGGGATCAACACCACCTCACCTGAAAGATGCATAAATTTACTTTCACATAGGGATAAACAATGGTCGTAAATATGATGTCTCAAATAATATGGTACTTATGATCAATAAAATATCAACAACTACTATTATAAACATATATATTTCAATACGTTTTTGAGAGACAATGGGCCATATAAACAACATGTAAACAATAAATTAAATACAATAGTCATCATATCTTTATCTACTATGATAAAAGGGTTATTAGAATATAAAAATATACATTTATGTATACATATTTTAATAAGTTTCACTTTCTTCTTACCATACCTTGTAAAAGGTGATACATTATTATATTGTTCCAAAATGTTGTAGTCCGCATATTCGATTGAAAATAAAATTCCAAAATTGAAAATTTCAAGTTCCGAGTCGTTAAGCTTGTAAACATTATTATATACAATGCAATCAACATCAACAACTTTTTAACCGAGATTGAAAACACAGTCTTCAAACTAACAAACTTACAGTTAGTTTAACCAATTTAAATTTGTTAAGCAACAAAGCGTGTATTTTCATCGATTCGAATATGTGTGTTGGGGATGTTTTTTTTTTTTCCGGGTGGGGGGAGGGGTGTGGGAATAAAAAAAAACAACTAAATGTCAACTTATTAAACACTTTTATACAGCTGGTCAACGTCATACGATCAAATCAAATCTTACCCTGACCTCTAAAGAAGACATTGTAAAATTCAAGTCATTCGGAAAAATCTTTGGTTGATTTGTATCAGATATAACAACTGGCTCTTAACCAATGGTATTGTTTCAAACAATCTAAATCAGACATAAAAATGTTTATCCTTATTTTATTCAATCATGTACTGTCACGTTTTAGTTTAGTCAAGAGGAGAGGATTTCGATCACGAGTGCAAGCACACTTCAAGTGTCGTTTCTATGTATTTTGGAAACCAAGCTATGGAAACGGCAGAAGGATCGTATAAAAAGACGGAAGAATCAGACATGAGCCAGAGTTTAGGAATTCTGCAATTATTAACTACGTTGGACAGGAAAGAAATGGAATGATGTTGCGGTCTTATATCACTGCTGTAGTGCTGGTGGCTTGTCTTTCTCACTTTGGAGGTAAGTTTATATCTTTCTTATGAACAGACAAAAAATAAAACATAAATTGAATAAAGCATGGAGGATATTTTGTTGAAAATTAAAAAAAAAAGCACATTCATACACAAAAAAAAGTTTTATTATTTTAAATACCAAAGATTGACGTTTAGTTATTTAAACATATTCATTAAAAAAAAGAATAAAATTAATGTAATATATATATATATTAATTTATAGCTTATAGACTATGATATATATATGCATAGTCGTTAAGCTATAAATTAAGTATTTAAGAAAAACTGGACAGTTTGCAAATACTAAACTTGCTGATGGAAAAACTGTTAAAAAGAAAAAAAAAGAAGATTTATACACGTAAGAAAATGTTGAAAGGTCCATGGAAGCTAAAAATGCTTTTATTTTTAAATCATAATTTTTATTGTCTTGTACCAGTTGCCTAATAGATACTCATTTGCAATAACGCTGATACATCTTTTGCATCTTTTACGTTTTGATATTTAGTACAATTAAAGACCTTTAATACTTTGTGCACCATTGTCAACATTTTGTTTCTTTTATAACAAATAATTTCACAGTCAGCGCAATTTAAATCGAATCAGGTTCAGTATCCTGTGATCCTTATTTTATTTTCTTTTTTTCGATTACTAAATTTAATCGTGTTCTGTTAGCATTAAAAAGTAAAATTCAAAATTTTTAAAATAAATGCTGTTTTGAAAGAAACCAAACTTTTTGGGATGAAATCAGCAAATAACAAAAAATACAAAAATATTCGGATCAAAATGAGGATCAATTTAGGATCACGTAATTTGCAAAAATAACAATAAAATTATTCTTCATAGATTAAATATTCTAATATAAATTTGATAAAACTGGGCTTGCAATAGCAAGTTTATAAAATCTTAGAATAAATTTATTGTTATTTTGCAAAAAATATAGATAGATATTTAATTTATGAGGATAAACAATGAAAAATGTAAAAGGCTTAATGTTCTTATTAAGGAAGAAATAGTATTTACGTGATATACCATAAATTAGAGGAAATAAAACACTATGATAAGTATATATATTATAATCAAGACACTTTTTCATAATCTTCATAAGATAATAAAAGTATATTATCATAATTTCACTGTTGAATTATAATTATCAATAATACGAAAAAAACATCAATGTTTAGGTAACTTTGTTTCTGCTTAATTGATCGGTTCCTTCATTTTTTCCCCCATCACTTCAACTGTTTCTATTTTTTTTATTTTCTTTTTTAAATAAAAACTCTTTTGCGATATAAAAAATCAGTTTGATATTTAAAACAGAATAAAAAACATATAAATCAAAACTTCGTTGACACTTCAGATTCTGCTTTGCAAAATTGAAAATTGTTTAAATAATATTGCACAAATCGTTTTTGAATCAGCAAGAGTTAACAAGTCACGACTAAAATATTTTGTTGTTGTTGTTGTTGTTATTGTTGTTGTTGTTTCTTCTACTTTGTTTTGAAAAAAATCTTGGTCCAGAAAGCTTAACAAAATATATATATAAAAAAATCCAAAAAAAAAATTCCAAGCTGTCTATTTCTTCAAGCCTGGGGTATGAGGTTTTCCAGTTGAGTTATTTTTTAATGTTTTTTTTTAAATATTTGGTTAACACAAAGGAAAAGAAAATGAAAAATTGAGGCCGATATATTACCTTTCATAAGGTTTTAAAATCTGCCTTTTATAATCTGATTTCAGTTGTAATTAAATAATTATGCACCCTGAATTATATTATTATTATTATTATTATTATATTATTATTATTATTATTATTATTATAATTATTTTATTGTTATTTATTATCATTATTATTAATATTATAATAATATTGATAATTATAAAATATTATTATTATTATAAATTATTATTATTATTATTATTATTATTATTATTATTATCATTATTATTATTATTATTATTATTGATTATTATTATTATATTATAAAATTATTATTATTATATTATTTTATTGTTAATTATATAATTAATTATTTATTATTATAATTATTATTATTATTATTAATTATGGTAACGTTATTGTTGTTGTTATTGTCCTTATTGTTGTTGCTGTTGTTGTTGTTATTTAAATATATCTGTTTGAAATGCCATTGAATTATTTACATGAATATAAAAATAATCAAAATGAAATACATTTCAAGTGACACAAAACATTCATTCTTAGATGGCATGATATTAGACAAAACACATCAATGTTAACAGAAATGACCAATCCATATTAGTTGCGAAATAGTTATGTATAATTGACGAGGTCTTAGGATTGTAAACGCTTGTTTACATTTGAACCGACATAAAAACATACCTGAACTATTGTGTAGCCCGAGATATACGATACAGCGTATAGTGATGAACGGCAGTACAGCGTTAAGCGATAACGTTGAAGTTTGTTTGCACCCCGGGGTCAGATGAGAAAAACAAATCAATACAAAATTTAGAGTATGGCAAATATTTGAAAGACCCTGGTATAATATAAGCAGACTTGAATAACAATTGCTTAACTAGTCTTAGTGATTAGGTTAAACAAATTATTTATCCACTAATATTGCATGATGAAATTATTTGTTAAAAAAATCTAACACTTGAAACAGCGCATTGTACACATCACTAGGCAATTGGGCTCGATTAACGTTATCTAAAATTGAATTTATAACAATAATTAATTGTAACACAAAAAATGTAAAGACAGAAATTAAAGCATTTCCTCCTGACTCTATATGCGTTTTCATATTTGAATAAAAATCTAAGTGTGATATTTTTATTCATACAATTATATTGCTAAAATGATTAAATGTCTGTATATATAACAGATGCAGCAATCACTGGCTGGACTGAGCCAAGTACCATATCTGGTGCTACTGGTGAAGCGGACAACATCCAGATAGCTGAGGATACAGCCCTCGAAGCTACAATAGCAACATTTAATGCTACAAGTGATGGTACAGTTGAGAGTTACGAATTGGTAACAACGGACACGCCTTTCGTTCTTAACTCAACCACTGGAGAGTTGACGTTAAGCACTGCGCTAGATTTTGAAACTCAAATCAATCATACTATTGAAGTGAAGTAAGTAACTATAAATTTTACATATTTATTAAAGAAGCAAAAAGATAAGCTTCAAACAACAGCTGCAGATAATACGTTTAATTACAATTTTATTTGTAAATTACCTAAATACATGTATATTTGATAACAGATCGAAACGTAATGATTAGTTTTACCTTCCCATTATATTGATTGATTGTTCAGTCTGTTTTGTTGCGTAATTGTATGTTTATCTCAATTAAATGTTGTCATTTGTGTTTTAGAGGAGAAAATACATTTGAAAAAAAAAATAAATAAAACTAGTGATCGTAATTGCTACAACTCATTTTGCTTAAAGGAAACAAATAAAAATATGTATATGAATATTATTCCAACGCTTTTTTTCCATCATGTAACCAAATAATAGACTATCATTCGAAACCATTTTTATGCTCCCCGAACCGTGAGCATATTGTCGCCACTTTGTCCAACCGTCCGAATGTCCGTCTATCTTGATTCTTTTAGCCCGCCTGTCCTTCCGCTTTCTGTTCCGGGAGAAAACAAGTGGTATCAACATATAACTTTGTAGATAGCTAAATCTCAATAGGTAAATGTTCAGTGCATAACCCTGCCTTCCCTAATGTTGAGGTTTTTGCCGTTGTTCATTTTTACACTTTGAAGTTTACCTGGACATTACTCTGAAACTAAAAAAGCATGAAACTTTGTAGGTACATGTAAAAAGATTTCATTAAATTTTTTCCATCATGTAACCAAATAATAGACTATCATTCGAAACCATTTTTTATGCTCCCCGAACCGTGAGCATACAGTCGCCATTTTGTCCGTCCGTCCGAATGTTCGTCTATCTTGACTCCTTTAGTCCACCCGTCCTTCCGCTTTCTGTTCCGGGAGAAAATCTGAATCAACAAGTTGTATCAACATATAACTTTGTAGGTAGCTAGATCTCAATAGGTAAATGTTCAGTGCATAACTCTGCCTTCCCTAATGTTGAGGTTTTTGCCTGTTGTTCATTTTTACACTTTGAAGTTTACCTGGACATAACTTTGAAACTAAAAAAGTATGAAACTTTATAGGTACATGTAAATAGATTTCATTAAATAGAAGTGCAATGCAAAAGAACCAGTACTCTGCCTTGCCTAATTTTAGCTTTATTGTCCTATTTTTTAACCTTGTCCGGGACATTGCTCTTAAACCATAAGAGATATCAACAATAAATTTCGTAGGCAAATTAAAGTGCAGTGCAAAAGAACCATAACTGTGCCTCCCTTGATTTTGGAGTTATTGCCCTTTGTTAATTTTTACACTTTGAAAATTGTCCATGACATAGCTCTGAAAGTATAAGAAATGTGAAAAAGACACTTTGTAAGTATATCAATCTCATTGGGTATATGTGCAGTGTGAAAAACCATACGTTTGCCTTCCCTATTTTGGAGTTATTGCCCTGTGTTCATTTTTCTACTTCGAACTTTGTCCGGGACATAACTATCACACTGTATGAGATATGAACAATAATTTGTGTAGGTATATAGATCCCATTAGGTAATGAAAAAAAACTTTGCATTGCCTATTTTGAGCTATTTCCTTTTTCATTTTACATTGCGAACTTTGTCTAGGACATAACTCTGAAGTTTTAAGATATATCGTAATGAAACTTTGTAGGTAGATAAATCTTATTGCATAGACATGCATTGCAAAGAAGAGTTGCTCTGTCGTATCTTTTTTTTAATTAATTCACTTTGAACATTGTCGGGGCCATAACTTTTAAACTACAGGAGGTATACTTTTCTGTGTCAAAAACCTAATCGAGCAGCATCATCCGGCTCTTGTTAAGTTCTAAAGGGATGCCATATTTTACCCCATAATATGTTGTGGTCATCAAAACAAGAAGAATATTTCATGCGGTAGAATGTTGTTCTTTCACGAGTTATGCTTCTTAAAATATATATGAAATTTTATGTTGACATAAAAGCGTTTAAACAGTCTTGTGAATTTATGTCGCCTACCAAGCACCTTTTTTATTATTTTAAATTAAAAACAACGACAAGTTGCACATAAAAAGGACTCCAATGATGTTTTTACCGACTTGCCTCAAAATAGTTTTGGCAGATTAAAGTTTTATTTGATGAAGATCTAAAAACTCGTGAGCAAAATTTCAGATCGGTTGCAAATTTTCTTTTTCAAGAATAAATTTTCAGTGAACGCTTTATTTTTTTCAAGGTGTATTTCATAATGCTTTTTTGCATGTATTTCTGTTTTGAATGCCCCTGCTACTTTTGGAGAAAAGAAATCAAATTTTATTATTGAGATATTAACCCCTTCAATTGTGTTCTTCTGGTCAATGGTAGTATAATACTTGTAATTCATATCATATGAGTTTTGGGAAATATACGCTCATTGCATTCAATTTTCGTCTTATTCGAAACATAGTTGTTCGTTAAAAAAAGGTACGTGATATATCTTACAAATATATCTTTTACTTCAGATATTAAAACACTTATCAAGTGTCCTCTAACTCGAGTTTAATGTATAATTAGAACTATTAAATACGGCCAGTTTTCCTTCCATTTTTTATCTGCCTCCTTTGAACATTCAATTAACACTCTTGTTCCATCACATCCTTCATACTACAAAGATTGTTCTAATCTAATTATCTATTGATATAAATCATGATGCTTGATTTACACACTCCGCGTCCGACGCTGTAAGCCAGCTTCCGTAATTTTTGCCATATTTCAGTACGATACCTTACGGGTAAATGTCTGGTACCAGGTCATATGAAGCTGGAGGTTGTCCCGGATTATGTTTCCTTTCTAAACATTAGACCCTTTTGTACACTTTGCTTACACGTTAAGTACTTAAACTTTATCACAGTTGTCATTTAGTAAGCACACCATGTGAGTTTGTTTTAAATGTTGGTTTTAAGAAGATTGATGTTTTGTTTATTTTTTGTACCAGTACTCAGGCAAATCTTAGAACATCTTGATACACGTTTGTTTGCTAAACAATATGTTATTTTTTTTAGTTTATATATACTCTTTGAATGAAAGCCTTTATTTATTTCCACCATCAATTATTTCAGAGCGACGGACAGTGCTGATGCCGTCGGTACTGCAACGGTGGTAATCACAGTAACCGATGTAAATGAAGCAGCGCCAACATTTGGCGCAACGTCCTTTAGTGTTTGCGTGACAGATGGTTCAGCTGCAGGTAATTCCGTCCTATACAAGCATATAAAATTGTATTTAGCTAAATACCGTCAGTTTTGTGACGATGGTGTAGCTGATGTACTGAGAATTTGTTCTTATGTCAAGAAAAAAATATCGAGGTCACACTCTGTTGGTTAAAGAAAATTACAGAAAAAATACTGTTTTACTAATATCTTAAAATTCGTCCTCAGAAACATTATATGGTACAAAGAAATCAAAATACACTTCAAAATGTACAAATTTTATTATTCTTGCGCTGACAAAAAAACAGTTCGCTTTCCTGCAAACGGGATATTCCTTCTTCTATAATACAACGGAGTTCTTTTATCTGGTCTCGGTCCAGTGATAGTTGGTATTATTTGTTTAATAATAAACTAGTCGCATTTGAGGCTTATTATGGTTGAAGTTTTGAATACTGGTGCCTATGGTACCAAACATAGAGAGACACGAAAACACTGTTTTGGTTTGGTAAGATTTTGCGACACTAAAGAAAATGGCTGATTAATGTTATCTTATACATGTATATGATGACCACTAAATCGATATAAATTTTTACTTTATATCATAAGGGTCTACCAATTAATGACAAATGATTTTTCGAACCGCCGTCTCGACGCGTTACTATGTTGACTAAATTACCTTCTCCTATTTACATAGGCTACTGCGTAAGTATCATAGTAGATTTTACTAAGAATAAACACGATATACGAGATTTGTCCAAATATTTTGTGACAATATTGTCTAAATACTAAATAAAATAGTACCGAATTTGATATTGTGATGTCATATAAACACATGTTATGAAAATGTTTTCACAAAAATACATAAAAAATTATCAACAACAAAAATATGCCATAAATAAACTATTTGAATCGCGGCGCACGTCAAACTTCAATGACAAAATGAAACCTATATTAAGCGCCTATCTCAAATACTCTCCATAGCATTTAACGCATAAACGATGCAGTTTTACTTTTTAATCGTCAATATACGTACTGATATTATGTGGCTGTGGCAATATATACAATTAACAAAATTTGAACAGTTCTACCTTTACTTCGCCTGCCTTTAGCCAATCAAAGCGAATAATTCAATATAACATGATAACAAATGGGTCGTCCATAAACTTCAATGGGATATGTTTAAATGGACTCGCCCAACCGCCATGTTTGTCGGGTTACTTATCCGTACAAATGAAAAATATTATTATCAATGTATGAGTTCAGTACCCATCTTTAGTCTTTTGCAGGATAATCAAAGCAAATTGCAATCTTTTTTGCAATGCAATGTCATTTCTGATAAGATAATGTAGTCTTAATAAAAGCTGTTTTTTTACTTTCCAAAACTAGCTCTAAAAAAAAATAATAAATGCTTTCTTCTGGGCGAGTTTAATACAATGAGTGTTTTATTGCATTGGCATGCAATGGCATGCTTAGGATGACGATATTTAGCTGATCCACAATTTTATGAATGACGTTATCATTCATTTGCTGTTTTAAGAAAATAGTTACCGATGTAATGACATAAATTTCAATGAAAATTGCTTTTAATTGTAAAGAATTCCAAGTCTGGCGGATTATAACAAATATCTGACGGTAAAATGACCCGCCTATTGGGCAGTAATGAGGCTTGCCGACATATGACAGATATTTTAAATCTAGAATAACAACTGAACAGACTGTGTAACCGATTTCGAAGTTTTATTAATGTGTGTTACATTAAGTCTTTTATGTATTCCATTCTTATAAATTCTCTTTAAGTAAAAGAAGTATAATTTACGTTTTTGTATTTCAATTTCATGTGGAAAGAATCTATTTTATTGTTTAAATTTGAAAATTTCATCGTAAAATTAAGCAAATTTTGGTATCTTTCAAGGTAAGAAAAGACAAAACGATCTAAACATATTCTAACATTTCAGGTAGTCAAAAGAAATCCATTAAGAATTCACCTATTATGTTAAACGTATTCATTTGTTTGTGTGTCTTTTCTTTTCGAGATTTTGCATATAATTACACTATCCGAATCAATTCAACATGTCTTTGTGTTTTATTGTTTAATTTTTAATTGCAACTTTGTTTTATGTCTTACATTTTAGGTACAAGTATCATAACTTTCTCTGCCACTGATACAGACACAGGTGATTCCATTGTCTACTCGATTGATTGTAAGTAATTTAACTGTTTCTCTTTTTTGTTTGGTTTAATGTCATATGGACACTGGCGACTTTTTAGCCTAACTGGTGTAAAATGACATCAGATTTCGCTAATATTCTGTTTAAGGCATGAGCAGGTACATGAGTAGATCATCCGACCTCTCATATGCTAGCTGAATAACATCCGAACTTGAAGAATCCAATTTTCATGGTAGGATTCGAACCAGCAGTTGTTATGGGCACAAGTTTCTTAGTCAGCATTCTTAACTTCTCGGCAAGGGATGGCCCACAGGTCTTTTTTGAGAACATAACAATAATGAATTTAAATAAAAAAAGTCTTCTATGACAACCATTAGAAGTGATTAACCTTGCAAAACAATATCAAAACATCCAAAATTAAACAAAAGAGGACATACTGGTCACAAAGTTTGACAGCTTTTGTCATATAAGTAATTTAAAAAATTGTGGTGATCGTAAATACTTTTTATTCACGATGTTTTCATGTACAGCTAAGGTAACGAATTCTGTTATGGTGGCAGTTAGCTTACCAGAATTAACCTAAAGTGTAATTCAATCTGAATATCAAAACTACTGCAATATTTTGTAATCTCCCAAAGCTGCTGAAACCTCTTTTAATAAGAATAGTATGGTAACGAATTGACTTACCATTATTATATAAATAACAGTAAAAATATCATCCCGAGGAAAATACTGTTACCCGAGGCGTAGGCGAGGGTAACAGTATTTTTACGTGGGGTGATATTTTTACTGTTACACACAAACCCATGTGTTATTTATTTTATTACCCCGAACAAAAATACTGTGATGATCTGAAATTGTCAACTAAATCTAACTGTCACAAAAATAAACCAAGAGTAACAATAACTAAACTGTCCTTACCTTTTACGTTTTAAGTGTACTTTAGGTCTACTTGAGAAGTTTTCTTTTTCTTTTATTCTTTAAGTACAAATCATAAACATACAATAAGCTAGGTTTTTTGTTTAGAAAACAAAACACGAACCCATTTACACGGTTATGATCTGTGAAATCTGATCCTTCTGTTTCCAGAATATTCTTAGCATGGTTTTTGACAAAATAACGATGATATCCTATGTCTGTCCACCATTTCTGTAACGTTTCACTGATTAAAATTGTTAAATAATCCTTTGTTGCATGCTTAAATCGTCTGCATGTTCCAGTTTGACACATTATTATTTTTATCGCAATTACTTCCGTTGAAAACGGATGTTCGCTTTTTGACTATTCAACAAAAAGATATTTTATACGCCAAAAGCACACCAGGTTGCAAACAACTAAATTTTACGAGTTTCATAGTTATTTCAGAGAAGAAATTGATGTCCTACCGGGGTTTAACGTTGAAAATAAGAATGAATCGAGAAAAAAATGGCGGCCATTTTATTTCATTTTATTTAGAAAATAGACCACGTGACCAGATTTTATACTGTTAAAAATACTGTTACCTATGTAACAGTACAAAATTCTTAGTCACGTGGTACACTTGCATTAACAGTAAAAATAACTCCCAGAGGCCTATGGGAAATTTGCATTACGAAAAAAGTGAGGGGAAATAAAAAGTTCTACAGATTACCATAGAGATAATTTCGCAGTGTTTATGTATAATTGCTTTGCTGTCATTTATATTTAAACGTTTCATTTCCTTAACCTGAATACATCTTAAATTTTTAATTCTTAATATTTAGAAGCAAATTTGAATAGTAAATTGAATTGTTATCAGCAGTAAGTTTTACTTAAGCTGACTATTATTTTATTGTTAATAGAAATTTGATAGACTTATTTTATTTACTTTTTCGAAAAATTATATTTTAGCTGGAAACAATGGCACCGACCTCGCAATTGCGGGATCACAGCTCAAGGTCGATACAGGAAAAACCCTTGATAAAAACAGAACAGACACCTATTATCTTGTCATACTTGCTACTGATACTGTCGCTACAGTACGATCTGGCTCAGCTACATACACAATCAACGTCGAGACGTCTTGCAGCCGCAGTAAAGCAGCAGCTTTGACAATGACATTTATGACACTTTTCCTGGCACTTATAGCATCTTTAAACTAATTTTCTAAACTTTTATTGGATGAATCAACCGCCGACGGCTACATAATATGCAAATTATGCCTCAGAAAAGATTTTTTTTTAATTTTATTTATCTTGTTACAGTTTCCAAAACAGACCATATACTTTTTTATCTTTGCTGGTTTTGGTTTCTTGGCAATGGGTGTAATTTAAGTATATAAGTTATTTGTGCGAAAGTCAAAGTATTACTGTATTAACATTTGCTACCTTTAAAATATATTTCTGCATGTTCAGTGCTATGTTCAATGCTATTTCTTGACCTGATAAACATCTAACATACTCTTCCATTATCCAAACAGTATTTATAACATACTTTACATTTCTAATAATTAAAAATATATTTATTTCTGAGACATAGTGTACCGTTAACTCGCAATGTCGGATTGATGAAATTAATTAAAAGTGTTTTTAACTGCGTAACTGCATATCAGCTGCAAAAAAAGATAATTTGATTTCTATAAAAAGGAACTCTTTCTAATTACCTCTATGAAAGCTTAATGTTTATTTTTTTCCTTCAAGATGATTAGCGTATGTACGAAATAATTGCCTAATATTTAAAAAAGAAAAGCAGCATACTTTTATTCTGTTTCCGTGCACTAACTTTGAGAATCAACGGAACATCACAATGCTACAGTTATTTTGTTAGACACATCTTTATAATTTATAATTAAAAACATCTAAAGCGACTCTATTCAGAGTTTTTGACATGATGTGACTGAAACCATTTTGTGAGATAAACGCTTCATTTGATCAATAACTTCTGTGCAAACTTTAAGCTCTTCGTTTTCCAAGATAATTATTCGAATTGCGAGAATGGGTTTAAGGTGAAAAGGGTTGTTTGTAAACTAAAATTGGGCAGACAGCACACATATATGATTTTTAATTTATTTTTTAATATTTTCTAAAACTATCTTTGCATAATTTTTTTTGTTTTTAGTACCAAGCTGATATTTGTAAGGATTTCAAGTTTTATAATTTTAGGCTTGTGAACCTCAGTGGAATTCCTTTAAGACATTTTATTACACAATTTGACAAATATTTTCATGAAGGCTAATAATGATTTAATCCCCTCTTATTTCTTCTTAAATTGGTTATCCAATTGACCAACAAACAAACAAAAAATGAAGACAATAATTTACTTTATATACAGTTTGCTGAGAGTGAGACTAAAAAGTTAGTACTTAAGGTGAGATGACACATCCTGGATGTTGACGACATACTAAGTATCAGTAATTGTGCTTTCGCATTAGTATTATAAACGTACTGGCATTTTTCCTGACTAGGACTATGGTATATGACAAACAGTTTTCTGTCTTTTCATTACAGTCATATATCACGTGGTATGTCCACAAATGCTACGATAAAGTCAATGTTTCAGTGAAAATTACTGTCTTGAAAGTGAAATTTGAACGATAAGAACGAGTGTGATGTGGCTTACGCGAGGTTTGATGTTGTGGAGAGTCTACTCCCTTTCGTACTGAATGTGTGCTGTGTGTTTTTATTTTAATCTTTGTTTGAACAGTGAAATGATATCTGTGATGAGATACTATACCGTATCGATGTTGGATTCATTTCACTCTTAATATAAAAAAACATGTATTGTTGTGCCAGCAAATTGTTAAAAAAAAGTAGAAGCATGTACAACTACTACTATTAGAGGTTCAAATTACATTTTGCCCAATAAGATCTTTTAACTTTATTGTGTAAACAACCAAATATAATTTCAACAACCCTAAGTAGGTTAGTATTATTTGAGTCGACATCTGGCGACTTCCGGCGTGCGCCCGGGCAGACAGACTTATGCTGAATTACAAACACTAACCTATTTAGTTGATATTATGTAAAGGTATAAACTAATAATCATTAACATATATCAGTGCATTATAATGTTCTTAATCAAATTGTTTTATATTTAAAATGACTAAATGTTTTATCAATGTAATGGGTGAAAAATAAAACAAAACAATACATCATCAGTGTTACGTTATTTTTATTTATTTAGTTTGAACGATAAAGAAGTAAAATATTCATTATATCCATCAGATTCATTATATCCATCAGAATGCCTGTTAATATGTTTCTTTTAGAATTTACTCAAGCAGAATCTGCAGTGAATAAAAGCACAAATCCACGAGGGGAGATAATAAGTACCATGTAATAAAAGAAACGTATTGAATGAGTTGCTTCCCTTTTAAACTTCAACACGTTACCTTTAGTTTCGGCAAAGATAGAAAATAAACATTTTCAAAACTTGCATGATTAAAGGGAAACATACAAAAGGGGTTACGATCCTACTTTTCGACTAATCTGCCCTTTAAAGTGATGATTTTTGTCGAGTTTGTTTAGCAGATAAATTCTTCCACACCTTATTTGATTTCGAATTCGTGATATTTTCTTAATTCGCTGACATGGTGCAATTTTTGCTAAAATCCTATTCTTTGGTGTATTTGCAAAATGACTTACGCCCCTTTCTGGACAAAAGTAGCTGTTGGGTTTATCCTATGAAAGATTGCAAAAATGTTTGTCACATTGAATTGTTTTAGATTTTGTAAAATGATTGAAAATAAAGTAAAAAAGGATAGTTTCAAATTAAGTAAAATAATAGTGTCGCTGATTTTAATTGTCTTATCAATGGAATGGGTGAAAAATAAAACAAAACAATACAGCATCTGTGTTACGTTATTTTTATTTATTTAGTTTGAACGATAAAGAAGTAAAATATCATTATATCCATCAGAATGCCTGTTAATATGTTTATTTTAGAGTTTACACAAGCAGAATCTGCAGCGAATAAAAGCACAAATCCACGAAGGAAGATAATAAGTACCATGTAATAAAAGAAACGTGTTGAATGGGTTGCTTCCCTTTTAAACTTCAACACGTTTCCTATAGTTTCGGCAAAGATAGAAAATAAACATTTTCAAAGCTTGCATGAATAAAGAGAAACATACCAAAGGGGTTACGATCTTACTTTTCGACTAATCTGCCCTTTAAAGTGATGATTTTTGTCGAGTTTGTTTAGCAGATAAATTCTTCCACACCTTATTTGATTTCGAATTCGTGATATTTTCTTAATTCGCTGACATGGTGCAATTTTTGCTAAAATCCTATTCTTTGGTGTATTTGCAAAATGACAGACATTTTCTTCGAGTTACGCCCCTTTCTGGACAAAAGTAGCTGTTGGGTTTATTCAGTGAAAGATTGCAAAAATGTTTGTCGCATAGAATTGTTTTAGATTTTTTCAAAATGATTGAAAATAAAGTAACCAAGAATAATTTCAAATTAAGTAAAATAATAATATCGCTGATTTTAATTGTCTTATCAATGGAATGGGTGAAAAATAAAAAAAAACAATACAGCATCTGTGTTACGTTATTTTTATTTATTTAGTTTGAACGATAAAGAAGTAAAATACTCATTATATCCATCAGAATGCCTGTTATTATGTTTATTTTTGAATTTACTCAAGCAGAATCTGCAGTGAATAATAGCAGAAATCCACCAAGGGAGATAATAATACAGAAAGCATTCTATATGGGACCCATATGAGACCCATATGGGCACCTAAATGGGTCCCATTTGGGCTGCCCATATGGGCCCCACATGGGAAGTGCAACCGGGTTCCAAGTGGGTCCCATATTGGCAGCCCTTATACTCAATATGGGATTCACATGGGCCCCATCTGGGCAGCCCATGTACTCAATATGGGTCCCACATGGACCCCATATGGGCAGCCCTTGTACTAAATATGGGTTTCAAATGGGCAGCCCAGATACTTCTATTATGGGTAGATTTTGAATTCTGGGGTAGATATTTTCAATTACTTCAATTATAATTTTGCTGGACGTTAAGATAGCAACCGCTTGCTACAGGGCATGATTCTTGTACTTGCATTAAATATTCAAGTGATGTTTTAACTCATTCTGTTTCCTGGAACAGACAGATTATGGCACAAAGCCTATATGATCATGCAAGAAAACAATACACAATGTATATGCTTTAACAATGTAACTTTATTTAGTAATCTCACTTATGGTAAGAGTGTATCATATATATACAGATTATCAAAGACACAACTGCAAACCTACTCCTGTAGCTTAATAACATTCTGTGGACGCCTTTTATGTGAATTTAGATGTCAACAAAGAAACCTTTACTTATGTAAATAAACTTTGAAAAGTGTACAATATAAAAATCCGAGTAAACTGTACATATTTGTAAATCCACAGAATTTCATTTTGACTACATAGTTTTTAATTCAAAAATACAGAAATATTAATTATTATTCAAAAAGTCCTATGTAGTAAATATTACTTTGGTACACTAAATAACCAAAATGTAATGGAAAACTGTTTATAATGTGTGAACAAAATAATTAAACATGCAGTTTTATAACATTAGTTAGCTTACAGATCACTATAAGGAAAAATGAAACTTATGCTAGACACTGGTAAAACTTTACAGAAGGTCTTTGGAACTCCAAAAAATATATGTGTATAATGTTTAAATTTCAGTGAATCAACAGTATGACCCCCAAATGTCTTTTTAAATTTCTATATAATTCATAGAAAAGTATTATACATTTATTGTAATTCATTACAAATTTCTATCTACCAATAACTTTCATTTTCAAATGAAATAGTATCTATGCTTTATAATATGATATTTAAATTTTCAGTTTTCTTTGTATTGGACAAATTAAATAGATCTACATGAATAAATATAAAAAGTTGTTCATTACAACCATATATTATACTCTGGCATGGTAGTGCTGAAGAAAAAAATATTATGCAGCTCGTGAAATGTAAGAAATATAATAAAACAAAACCTTGGCACAGTTGTAATACTGTTCATAGATGTGTAAACAAAATATAAATCTGATGAAAAGTAACAAATATAATAACAAAACCTTGACACATAGAAATACTGTTTATAGACGTGTAAACAAAATATTCAGCTGATGAAAAGTAACAAATTGAAATATAATACACAAAACCTTGGCACATAGAAATACTGTTTATAGAAGTGTAAACAAAATATGCAGCTGATGAAAAGTAACAAATAGTTTGTACCAGTTTGTAAAAATAACCAGCTTCATTTCACATATCTTCATCAACAATAACAATTAAGGCAAGAAATAACAATAGTATTTACAATATAATGCATTTCAATTGTTAATATCAATAGTTATACTGTTATAGTAACCTTTTGTGAAACGTTACTGTTGGGATCAGTTTTCTGTGGTGCTAATATCATTCTCAGTAAGAATTTCATTAATCTTTTATCTAATTTTCAATGGTTTATCGAAGTTAACGTTGAATTATATCCTGACTCACTAGCCACTCTGTGAAAAAAATCATCGAATTTGATAACTGGATAAATATCAAAAAAGTTGACCAAGTATACTGAAAGCCGGAAAAAATATGATGACAACGTCATTAAAATGACTTCATCTTTGCGATGCTTCCTGATAAAAAGTTTCCTAAAAAAACAATTATCCTATATATCACAGAACAGTAATTAATTATGGATATATTCCTTTTAAAAATGTGAAATAATACTGATTTAACGAAATTATTTTCAAAGATCAAATTTGTTGTGAAGAAGTTCATTTAACAAATTGTCAGTAAAAATAGTTGTTTCAGTAATTTATCTGATATTATCAAAGTTTCAACAATAACAAAAATAAAGATTACAAGAAGCATCATTGTAAAGTATTTCAACTTGATTTTAAAGGTTAATACCATATCTATATATGTGTTCCCTGTTAGTGTTAAGTTTGGATAAGATGTTATAATTGTAGGACGTATCCAAATAATATTCCTCTGAATAAAACAAAATTAATTTTCCTCCCGTGTAATACACAACTTTTAAAAATGGCCGCCACTTACATTTCACAAAGCCAGGTCCTACATAAATTTGCCTGAGTAACAGAAATAAGGTGGGATGGTGTGACTTTTTCTTCTAGAATTGGTTGTTTTTATTATTAAAACAAGCGATCGTTCATTTTTTTTTTTGAATAAAATAAATAAAATCATTGCAACGTTGATTGTCAAACTTTTTTTCAGCCCAAGACTTCCTGTATTTAAGAGAAATTGGACTTAAATTCATCTAAAATTGATGTTAACAGTGGGGAAAACAGATTTAATATTAAAGTTAATATTGAGGAAATTTCATTAGCATAAAATAAAGACACTTTATTGTTTGTTGTGTAAGATGTAATTTTATATCATAGAGGTACTTTTAAAAAACAGTTTTCTTACAAGTGGCATAGACTTCAAGTGGCATAGCCACTCTATGATATAAAATTTCATCTTACACACAAATATCATAATTTCTCCTCGGGCTACCAACTTTTCACAGTAACAAGCCCGACCAGGCTACTGTATTTTCAGAGGCAATATAAACAACTATTTTGAACAAATGAATCGTGCTAGTGGAATGTCTTTTGGACTAGTGAATATTCCAATCTGGTAGTCCTACCAGCCTAGTCGATTCAAATCCTAATTTCTTACACTGGAACTAGGGGCGTCACAAGGTGAAACTTTCCATTTTTGGCTGTGTCACTCAATCCAGCTTGTTATAACATTTATTGACTTGTTTTGAGGATACATTTAATAAGTATGTACTGTAATAATAAATATATTTATAGCTCCGAAGTTTATACTTGCTGGGCCCAATAATCTGCCCACGGAAGGGTGTATCAGAAGCACCTTGTATTGGAGAAGCACTTTGCACATCACTGCTGGCCTCTCGCAATGCCTGTGCAGATAAGCGAGGCGGAGATGAAAGTAGGCTTTGTGCCTGTTTGGGTGTTGTTGCTTGGTCAATAACTTGTGGTGGCCTACTCTCTGTGTCTGTCTCATTCTCATCATTGCCCTTTATCCGATTCATACAGCCTTTTTGATGGCCTATTTACAATAAAATGAAAATACATTAATAAGTAATTATAAAATACATATACATTAAGTGA